CTCTCCTCTCCTCTCCTCTCCTCTCCTCTCCTCTCCTCTCCTCCTCTCCTCTCCTTTCTCCTCTCTCTCAGCAGAATCAAGCAACAACACAAGGCTGGAGAATTCAGGGCCAAGGCCAGTGAATTGAAGTGTCGAGGTAGCAGCAAAACGTCCAGTTTTATTAATGTATGGTATATTTAGGAGACACGCAGGTGGTATGTTTGGAGCAGTAGGCAGGGCTACATGGCCTTGACTGTTGAGTAGGTTATGAGTCCTGACTGTGCTCTTTTGGATCCTTAACATTGTGTGGACCTTAGCACGTGTAGTTGTCTAGAAGATATATTTATTAAATTAATGGAAGAATAAACAGTTTCTTGAACCCCGTGTTTATTTTAGAATACACTGATAATTCACAAGGAAATAAGTCAGCAAAGACGGATAATTCTGGTGACGCCTAGGTCTTCTAAGGACCATCTTCAATAAACATTTTACGTATATTGCCACCCTGAGAATCAGTCTGGCCGAAAGTAACCACCTATACTTCTGTCTTTAACCAAGTCGGATCCTGCAGTTCCCCAGCCCTTCTCCCAAACACCCTCCCCAGCTCTGCTTCTCCTAGCTACATCAGCCCATGTACTCTCAACTAGGTACTTGATTAGTTCTCCATCCCAAGTTACTTTTTCCACAAGGAAATTCTAAACTAAGAAGAATCATTTGAAAGTGGTTTTGTGTAACACACACAAGAGTAAGTTCCAGATAAATTTTGTCTAAAACTGCCTAAAGAATGAAATCATGCAAAAATGGACCTGGATGACTATTAAACATCTGTAGAGGATATTTTGTAAGCTTATAGTATTAGAAACTACCTTAAAAGAGAAAAAGCCAACAGATTTATTACTAAATCCCAAATGCCAACAAATGAATAAAAAATAAATTTATTAAAAGAAGCCACAGGAGTGGGGAGCATTTTCAGCATGGCTGTGAGTTAGCATCCCCTGCACACAAAGAACCGTATGTGACTGTGATGGCCCACCTGTTGTAGTGATTGGAAAGTGGAGATAAGAGAAGCCAGGAGCAAGTTGGCTAGACCAGGGCATATTAGCAATCCCTGTGTTGGACTGAGGAACTCTGCTTCAAAAGAATAAGCTAGAGGAGGCTGACATCAGCCTCCACATCACAGATATGTGTGCATCCAGATACATGTGACCAGACATGCACACAAAGGACATGCATACACACATGCATGCACACACTACCCCAAGACGCACACAGAAATAGACCTAGATAAAAGAAGCCACTGACTAAAAGCATGGCTGTAGTATGCTTATATGTAATATACTTGCATAGAGTATATTATATACATATGATATACAGACATATGACGTATATACAATGAACAAAAGATAAATTTTTATGCGAAGTAAAAATAGAGTTACTAAATTTTCTCAACAAACCAAGAAAAATAATGGTAAGAAAACATATTTTGTTGCCACCTCCCTAAGAAAACATTTTTAACATCTAAAAATAAGGTTAACATCAGTAATAAAACATATATTAAAATAAAGATACCATTTTATTGGGGGAAAATGATCAAAACAAAAACTATGTAATACCCGGGTGGGAGGGCAGAGTAATGTGTGTCAGCTTCATTTTGCCATGACTGTGAATGGCATGACTCCTTAGAAAAGCAGTTTGGCAGTGTAAATTAAGTATCGGGAAAATGTAGTGACTTTTTGATCCAGTAATTTCACTGTGGGTACTCTCCTAAAGAAGTTATCTAAAATATGGAAGGGAAAAACTATTTAGCAAGCTGTTCATTACAGACTTATAACTTAATACTTTTTAAAAAAAAACCTATCTAGAAGCCCAATGAGGGTACGGTTAAGTAACTACCACGCATCATTTGAGAGATTTTTATGTGATCATTAAAATTAGAATTGGAAAGAAACTAAGCAGAATAAAATGTTCCTGCTGTAAGAAATATTAAAAATGATGCATACACTAAAGTGTACCTACCAAGAGTTGCCACATAGATGATAAAGATGTTTTAAATCTTCCCCAAGATTTCTGAGAAAATTTCTTGAGCCGTAACTGTTACCTTGTAAATGATCAGTTCATTATTTAGAGTAGACATGGATGAGAACCTCAGTCATGTGATGCCATGTCACCCTTAGGTTGTTCTAAAGCAGGACGGACCCCGTCAACTGAAACTGAAGCTCTCCGCTCCAGAGCTGTGAAAGGCACTTCCTCACTCTGAGAACAGACTCTCATGAAGCAACTTGGTCTTGGCTGCTCTGCTCTGTTGAACTCAGATCTTTGTCTGGCCTTGTCAAGCAGCCAGAAAGAGTGACCTCAGATAGGAAAGGCACTGCAGGGTCCCTCCATACAAGGATGAGTGCTCCCAACACACTAATAAAGAGGGGAGGCAGCACATGTCTCTCCTAGGCTACCATGTGTTTTAAGAATGTGACTATGACAAGATATCCATGTTGCCAGTCAGCCATAGCACTGTGCAAAGACTAAGGTAGGGTGCCTAGGTGAGCGCTCACCCTTGAGTGGCAGCCTATGGTGACACTCTGCTGATAAGTGATCATCTTAAAAATGAGCTAGAATAAATGATTCTAAGCCTAATTAATGAAGTACTTGCCTTGAGCCTGATCCCAAGTATAGCATTTATTAACTCATTGAATTCTCTCAACAGTCTCACAAGGTGTGTGCTCTTACAGTACAAAGAAGGCCTAACTCATTTGAGGTCACTTGACTAGTGAAGTATGAGGTCAGGAACGGGATCAACAGTTGGGCCCACCTGCCCATGTTAGTGTTTCATGCATTTGGTTTTGAGTTGCTTGCTTTTGTGAGGCAGTAGATTAAATACAAAGGCTGCCTTATACAAGTCTTCTCCCACTGAACCACACCCCCAGTCTTCGGTGTCTGGAGACAGTCTTAGACTGTGGTTCTCCTGCCTCAAGGTCCCAAGTGCTAGGATTATAGACACGAGCCACCACACCTGACCACAGTTAAGTATAAAACTTAAGCACTTTTTTATGAATGCTTCTGTTGGTCTTACATCCTATTACCTAATTTGACCTTATCTCTCTTCATTAAATTTCTCAAAGTGCTTATGACTGGCTAGTAAAGAAAACCATGATTTACTTGTTTCCTTCATCATAAAAGGTATCTATCTGTAATAGACTGATCGGTGGTCTCCAATTTGTATCATGAAGCCAAATTCCAAGTCAATCAGAACATGACCTTATTTCAAGGCTGGACACTTAAAGGTCTAATCAAATTCAAATGAAGTCATTAGAGTAAGTCAATATGACTGCTGTCCTTACAGAAGGGGAGATCCAAAGACAGACATAGAAGATGGACATATAAGGTGGGTAGTCATGTGAAGCTGAACAAATATTAAAGTGAACCTTCTGTAAGACAGGGGACATGAGAGAATGCTAAGAAGCCACCAGAAGCTTGGCAAAGGCATAGAACAAGAAGGGGCCAACCCCCACGACTCCACACTGCTGGGTTTCTAGATTGCTCTCAAAGAAATCGTAGCAAACTAAAAGAATATTGTTTCTTCTTTCTGTTATCATTGTCCATCTAAATAATAATATTATTTTGTTCAAGCAAACAACTGATACAGGGATCAGGTGAAGAGCAAAGGTCTAGGCTGGTAAAGTTGGTTGATAGTTTGAAAACTACATTTCACTCATGAGACTCCATATGTGAAGTTGAGAAGTATCTGCATGGCCCAGGTACAGAGAGCAGGGTCCTAGAAACCCATACACCCCACCCAGTTTTAATGAGAACCAATCCCCTTCCCTCTGTTAAACCAACTGCATTCAAACTAATATTTTGTTTGAGGAAAAAAAACTATTATGTTTTGAAACATCATAAATACTGATTTAAAAGCAGAATTTAAAGCCAAGCATGGTGCTGCTCATCCATAGTACAAGCACTTAGGAGGTAAAGCCAGGAGGATCAGTATTTCAAGACCAGCTTCAGCTACATAGCAAGTTTCAAGGCCAGTCCAGG